TTTTTTTGCAATTTTTATCACGTCTGCTTAGTACATGCTTATATTTTGTACATTATTATTTATTTATTTATTTATTATTTTTTTTTTTTATTTTTTTTTTTCGCTTTTCCAAATATTCATAGAAATTAAGTTTTAATCAACAATACAAAATTATTTCATAGTTTCTGCAGGAGTCAGTTGTTTATAAGGAACAAGGTAAAAAATATAAAAAAAAACAAATCATGTTTTGTCACGAATAGATAGAATAAACAATTACATGTTTGAGGAAGCCAAAAATAAACGACAGAGCGTGTCCTTATGATATTTGTTTTGAAGCTGATTAGTACAGAAAGTATGTTTTAAAAATTTGAACATCCTTGCATTTAAATATGTGACCGGAAGCATTAAAAACAGCAAAATTACATGAAAATTGCAGACTCGATTTGATGGGTTAATGAAAAAGTGCAACACGCTCCCCCCCCCCCCCGGCACCGGCTTGAGCGGTACTCAATTATCAACATTAAAAAAAATGTATTAATATAAACATTCAAATTTGATATATAATTTCTTCCTACATTGAACAGAAATTAAAAAAAAATTAGGTTATAGACAAAAAGAATTAATAATTGACAGCTTAGTTAAAAATTAAAACATTTACAAAAAACTTTTATTACTTAAATTAGTATTATATACAATAATTCTCTTAAAAACCGATTTGAATATGAATAATGTATCGTTTTTTGTGTGTAAAAAATAAATGGGTAACCTATGGTTACCGAAATTAAATAAAAAATACTGATTCAATGTAATGTTACCCATTTCCAGCAGAGCATAAGAATTAAAAGACAGTTCATTTATATGGCAAATGAGTATATTTGACACTGTAAGAGATACTGAAAATAAAATGTTTTTGAGAAATAAAAATGATAGCTTTTTAAGACATAACGAGCTTTTAAAGTAGCTGTTCCTTACAATACAATGGTACAATGTTTTAGGCCATCTGCATCGTCACGACTCCGTTGTAATTCAACAAGCTGCGCATGCTTCTATCGTTATTTTCGACTGCCAGTTTCAAACAGCACTTAGTATTTGATTTTTTTTGTCCAATAGAATTGCAGTATTTCAAATAAATAAAACACATTTACTGTAGTAAATCGGCTACATTTAATCAGTCTAGTAAATCGACAGTTTCGTACTACGCCTTTCTTGGCCAATTTAAGTTTGTTAATGCTTATTAATGTTATATATTCTAGATGCATTTTGCTTTTTCACTGACAAAATATTTTGCTTCACGGAAGCATTTATTTTTATTAGTCGAAAAGAGGAAGCGCACAATTTCTTAAGAGTTCGAAATAGATGATAATTTTTACTTTTATGCAAGTCCGGTAACGTTTGTATTCCGCGTCGGTTCATATAATTTCGCGCGAATGCTCTTATTTGCTGAAAGAATATAAGTGATATCTAGAAAGGGATTGATTTCTAGTTACTTAAATTACTGAAGTTTGAATATAATCTGTAGTAAATTAAGATATTGTCAAAGCGACCAATTCAAGAAGATGCATGAAACTACTTACTATACCCAAACCACAAATTAATATGTAAGTTTTCCAACATGGCCTCAACAAATCTTTACCGTGTAACTGTTTATTCAACCTTGACAGTTTGAAATTAAACAAACAAACAAAATAAAGCTTTTACGTCATCCAGAAAAGAGTGTAAATTGCCGTTTTTTGTACGTGTGTTTTTGTTTGTTTTGTTTTGTTTTGGGATCGACAGGCTGTTTTCTTTATTTTGTTTTTCTAACAGGAAGTAAGCATATAATAAATGAAAAGACAAGATGTGAAATGACTAACATTTGTGTTCGTGATATTGTAAAAATGAACTATTTTTTTAAGTATAGAATAAATAACAAGACAATATATCCAAATATGAAAAATATGGTCTCTCTCACTCTTTCCTACGCATTTGAACACAAAACCATGCACTATTCTACAACAATGCACTCAAAATTGATATACATGTAGTTTATTTTAATCCTTTAAAGCTCTGTGACATGTTGTACATCAGAATTTTTTTATTAGAAAATTTGAAAACAATTTGATTTGCACGCGCCGTCTAACAAGTTACAAAGCCTAAACCTTGCCTCAGAGAGGCAGTTCTACCTCAACCCCCAGCTCAACACAGACCCGTCTCTAGTCTAATGACGGGAACCAAAATCGGGCAGGGAACAAGAGGTATCATTAAAATACTCAACGGAGATTATTTTGGCGCTACGGACGCAGCGGAAATATTTTTTGCAAAACAGGCAAAACGTGTGCGACATGTTATTCTTGAAAATAATTAACAGTTAAGTTATGAAAAAATAACTGAGTGAAAAAAGTACGTTCATTTTAAAACGTATCACAAATATTTGCAATAGGTTATTTTGAAGGATTCTGTGCCCGACGATTCTTCTCTTTTGCCTTGATATTTTATTACATTTAGTGGCCCCATACCTAGATTCTTGGCGAATATGCAAGTAGTTTAATCTTTTTTTAAATAAGTAAACAGTACGTAACACAGAATTGATAATATATATCAATATATTCATTACTATTATTTGATATTTCAGACATATTTTCGCTATTTGTAAAATAACAGACAGTTCGTCCTCAAAATCATTTGAACATTATGCAATTCGCACCAATATTTAAACGGACAAATTCTCGGCACATATTGTCTTGTATTAATTTCATGTTTACCAATCATTTCAATGTCTTTTGTTATCCACTTTATTTTGCTTCGACCAGCGCAACAGACAAACATTACCAGAATTTCAGACACATACCAAGAACATGGAGAAAAATTGATTAGTGCTTCGGATATTCAACTGTAATAGAGAACGATTTTCAATTCTGATTTTGTACATTACCTGTGACTGTTCACATCATTTGGCGGCGTCTTTGATGTGCAGCATCAACATTTAACTTGTTCATTCTTAAATGTCATTGTTTTATTTCAACAGGACACAAGGAACATTTATCGCGTCATTTATAATACTTGAACTTCAAGTATTACAACAGTTATGCTTTAAACAAATTTGGCATTCGGATGGTTTCAACAATCATTCTGCATTAGATTCTTACTCGGTATTTAACAGTCACGTATAGGAACTAAAGGTTGAGAAAGGAAATCCACTACGGCAAGATATGAGGGCTCATTAGAATATATTTATAATTAATCATACTTGCGGTCCACCATATATATATATACAAATAATGCAACTAAAACAATAATAATAATAATAATAAGATCTAAAACATATTACTCATGATATAAGAAAAGAAACCTTGCCAAATTTCATTTTATTCATATACATTCATGCTTTGTGAGAACCCCTTGCTTTTAACAAAACTAAAGTAAAAACTGAAGTAAATGATTTTACCCTGACATACACCAAATATCACTGTATACATGAAAACGATTTTGTTCATGGTGTAAATGAAAAACAGGACAGAGCAATAGAATATATGAATAACGAGTTTACTGATAAGGTTAGGGAGGGGGCAAGTTATAAATATAAGTTTACCAAGTTCAATTTCTGACTTTACGACAAACGTGGCATTCTTTATCATTTTAGGATAGAGGTTACGAGATATTAATACACGTGTACTTAAATGGTAAACTATTCACTATATCCGGCTCAGTAGATTAAAAAAGAATATAAACCTTTTACCATTGAAATGTGATTTGATAAAATATTTAGTTCCTTCTATGTTATGTTATTATATATTATATAAACTTTTCTGATTTCATTTCGCGAATACTTTAAATTCTATATAAAACTGTAGCTGTGCCTTTAATTCACATCTTTAAAGTAGATCGGCATTGAATTATGGATGTTCATACAGAAAGAAATCGACAACTACTTTAATCTATAATAATCTAAATTATACAACTGTATTATATAACTTGAACGAAATAAAAACAATTGCTCAACATTAATTTTATTCCATTAAGTCATTGTCGCAGTCTGGCAAATACTAAATGGTTAAGATTTTATATTGTTTCATCTTTTCAAACAATTGAATAAAATATTCCGGATTACTTTGGTCGCTATATAAAACAAATGATGAGCCGCAAACATTGTAAACAATGTTAACATTTAAATGGAGAAAAAGAAAACGAAGAAAAAAAAGAACCACAAAAAACAATTTTGTATGCATCAAACACATAATAAAGCGCTAAAACCCATCTAAAAATGAATTTATTGTATTCACATTATATGAATCAATTGTGAACTTGATTTCAGGGTCTATACAGGCCAGTCCCGGACCTCTAAGGTTGTGGAATCGAATCTCATCGTAGTTTGAGATTCTCTTTTGACATTGGTGCCATTACTGGCTGGAAATCCAGAAACAGTCACCTTATGCGACTTTAGAGCGCTTACCTGAGTCCCCCAAAAAGAGTTTGACATTAGAGTATAAACAAACAAATATAAGTTGAATCGGTGTATCGTGATTGAAAATTCTGATAAGCATGCAGATATTCATCAAAGCATGACCCTCACTTTAAGATAGAGTAAAAGTTTTCATCTCTTATAATTATTTCAATGGGTTCTGTCATCATACATACTGCTTATAATATTTTCATGATAACCATATTTTATTTTAGATAATATATCTTCTTTTACACGTATTTACGGTCTTGACCTATTGGCCCTTACTTTATTTTTATTTTCAATATAACGAACTGGCTTTTATACCTTTAATACTTCTGATGATCGTGTTTAATTCGGTAATTGTCGACAGATTTGTATGAAACTAAAATGGACTTGGTACCCTTAAATAGAATTAAAGCGTTATCTAAATTTGTATGAATGTTTCTATACATAGAACAAACATCCTGAATCCGTACGAAAATGATTAATCGAGTACGTTATCGACAGATTCAAATAAGTGACAATTGACACTGTACGCATGTTTTAGATATCCAAACAAAACTTCATAAAGATAAAAGTGTGTACTGACATGATTTCATGATTTGAGATTTTGGTTTTATAGTCTTTTACGTAAATCATTTCGGACCCCAGCCGGAAAATGTTTGGTATAAAATGAATTTAAACTAGTTAGCTTGACCACTTAAGTTGAACCATTGAGCATTTAGGATATAGAATAGAAAAGTAAAAGACAAGTAAAAAAGGTAAAAGTAAGTATGTTTATATACTTGTAGTCCTTTAAATTCCGTTTATTATTTGCCACCAAGTTTACTTTCAGGTCACTTAAAATATTCCTACTTCTAAAAGAAACAAAAGTGGAAAAGGTGTTTTAAAAGGTATCGCACTCTGAACAATGAGGTCGTGAACCTAGCCATACAAGGGTCACATCCATGTGTCAAATACATGTCAAATACTGGTTAATTCAATGAAGCGTCTTTAAATATGCTTTAAGAGATGTTTACATATGCTTAAAGCTTATATTAACCGGGCTTCAACTTTAAGAAGTTGGTGTAAAAGTAGATTTTTCTGTGAAGTTATATAGAATATGATTTTTATAAAAAAAAAATTGTTATCAATTAGTTAGCTTTTTTGAAACATTAGTTAAGACAAAGAAGAAAACTTAAATGCGGATTTAAAATAACTTTGTTGTTTACATCATAACAAAATATGTAAATAATTTATGCAACCTATTTTTCTTTTTACTACAAACAGAATATGTGAACTGAATATTCTGGTAATTATGTGCATAGCAATTATGTAATCTGTATATTTAAATTCTCTACAGAGTCACCACATTATAGACGAAGATGGCGAGAAATATGCTAAAGCTGTACCTGAAATTTGGAGGAGGACTCATCCAGTCTGTTTGTGTATGTTTAATGTTATTTGTCATAATATTAACTGTAAATTACACTACAAGATTAGCGAGACTTGCTGCGGAGGTACATAACCTCCCCTGTTGTAAACGTAATGACATAAGTAGGTCGTATATTTTAAGTAAAAACAATTCCCTCATCAATCATGTAAACGCCGAACAAGCACGAAGTAACCAAACCCTAAGCACCAAAAATACTTCAAAATCTTTTAACGAAACACACGCACGAAAAGATAAATATTTGGACTGGATTCCATATCCACAACAAAACCTTGTTCCACTATCAGACAATCCTTATGTCATTTCAAACAGTGATATTTGCAGAAAAATCAATCATGTAGACGTTATTGTTCTAATACATTCAGCTACTGGAAATTTTAAAAGGAGACAAGGCATAAGAAGTACATGGGGAAACGTCACTGCACTAAAACATAAGAATTTGAAAATTGTTTTTATATTAGGTTTGACTGAAAACAACAAGATACAAATGGCAATAGAACGTGAAAATGACAAATATAGAGATATTATACAAGGAAGATTTATCGATACCTATCAGAATTTGACGCATAAGGCTGTGCTTGGATTACGCTGGGTGAGAGACTTTTGCTCAGGTGATAGCCGGGTTTTAAAAGTGGACGACGATGTGTTTATAAACACCTTTAAACTGTTTTCAAGCTTTCACAAGACATTTGATAACAAAGAAAATATCATATATTGTAAGCGACAAGATGCAAACACTAGCGCTATTCAAAGGAACGAAGACAGTAAGTGGAAAGTTAATGAGAAAGAATTAGAGAATTTTAATTATTTTCCTTTGAATTATTGTCACGGTTTCTTCATTTCCATGACAACAAAGATGGCTTCAGAATTATATGAAGCTGCTCGTGATATGCCATTCTTCTGGATAGATGATTTCTTTGTGTATGGATTGTTAACTGATAAAATAGGTGTTAATAGAAACCTCTATGATATTTATGATTTATTGTCACTGCACACGTATAATTCTTTAGACTGCTTTGGGTCAGAAACCACGCGATGCAATCTTCTTGTTGGTAATGCTCCGAGTTTAGAATTCATGCTGTTGATGTGGAAGAAAATGTTGAATCAAAATGATGTTGTACCTGCTGTTTGAAAAACTTATTTTCGAACGTGCGTTTATTTTTATTCTGACTTCGAAATGTGATCAGCTATTTAGCCCGATGTAAAGTGTTATAAAGTCTTAGAAAATGCACAACAAAAAAGAAGAAGAAGAAGATGGTGATCAAGGAGGAGAAGAAATGAACATCGAGACGTAACAAGAAAAGAGTAGTCTCAGAACATATGAAGAAGAAAAAAGACATTTGAGTATACATGCAATTAACATAATTGTTTTAGCAAAACCGTTGTTTATTTTTCAAATGAAAATATTGTTGATGCTTGAAAATTAAAATATACATGTATATAATTAAAGAGAAATTATCGATTTTATATCACCTCTTAATGTTTAGAAATATAGTATCAATGGTCAATCGTCGGCATTTATATCATAAAATATGACCGTATCTACTTCCTGATTCATAGTGTGAATGTCATTTGAATAAGAAATAGAAGTAAAGAATACAGTCAAAAAGGGACTGAAGGTGCAAAAAACAATAGAACCGACTGAACAAAAAAATAAATAAAACAATTAACAATTCAATAGCCAAACACTGAACTTGGGATCCGTCACAAATTAAACTATAATTATAGCTTAATTTGTGACGGATCCCAAGTTCAGTGTAAAGATTGATCATCATTGATATTGTTCAATTCTATGCTGATATTTCGTATTAGTAATAGTACAGTTAGAATTAAAGCGTGATAGCATGCCATTGTGAATACTACATTGTTTTGGAGAAATAAGAATACATCATTTTCAATGATATGTTATTGTATTTATTTCTAAATAACAGTAAAATGCATACAAATTTAAATGTTAACTCTTTTATTATTTAATAAAAATTTAAAGAATAAGGAAAGTGAAACACACGAAACAAAGTGGATCAGGTTTCTATAATTTTATTTAAGACCTACGTTTCGGCTATTCAATAGCCTTCACCAGGGTACAGATATATCAGAATTTTTCAACTAAGGTACAGTTTTGACGGTTCTTTTTGTCACGTGATCAAATCTATTTATAGAAGTTATTGTTGTTGTTGTCTTTTGTTATATGTATAAACCTAAAAGACACTATGATAATAATAATAATAATAATAATAATAATAATAATAATAATAATAATAATAATAATAATAATGATAATAATAATAATAATAATAATAATGATAACTTTATTTTAAGAAGGTGACACATTAAGAGTACATAATAAACATACAACTTATTTCCAATATGACCTTCTATACATAAACAACAATAAACAGCAATATAATTACGGGAAACGATTTACAGTAAAATCGGCCCCAAGTCAGATCGGCCCCAAGTCGAATCGGTCCCAAAATAGTCACGTCGGCCTCAAATGAAATCGGCCTCAAGTCAAATCGGCCCCATTTTTTGCTTTATTCATTTTTCATTTTTTTATTTAATGTTGCAAGCAAATTGATAATAAAACAATTGTGTGGATAGGTATACCAAATGACAAACCATGGATTACAAAGAAAAAAAAGAACAAAACATATGATAATCTATCTATTTACACTCTTACAAAAGCATTTTCATGGACAGATCCATGGTCTTTCAAATTGAACGACCTTGACAGATCGGAATTTGGATAGTTCCATGTAGATGTAGTTATCAACCTTTTATGTCGTTTTATAACTTTGCGGTATTTATTCTCAGTGTGAATAAGGTAAAAGGCAAACATATCCCGAAATTGTTTTTCTTGACGAAAATGGCGGACATTCCGTAGTATTTTCAAAACAAACGTAAAGATTTATGATTTTAAGCGAATTTAATCTTTTTATGTTATGAATTTAAAGAAAATTAAGGTTGTTGCACAACTATCTGTTAGACATATTTGTTTAAATATCTCTCTTTT